ATATGGCCTTAGTGATAGAAATTATGCTGGAGATCGCATGATAAAATTTTGCAAGACTAATGACTTCTTCATTGCAAATATCATTTTAAAACAACATAAAAGACAATTATACACATGGGCTTCGCCAGATGGAATACGCAGAAGTCAAACGGACTACATCTGTGGAGAGAGACAGTGGAAAAGCTCCATATCAGCCAAAACAAGGCTAGGGACAGACTGGAACAGACCATCAACTGCTCATATGCTGAATAAAATTAAAACAAGTCCACAAGAGCCGAAATGTGACCTTGAACATATCCCAACTAAATGTAGAGATGATCTCAAGAACAAGATTTGATGCATTAGACACTAATGTCCGAAGACCAGAAGATTTGTGGGATGACATCAAGAACATCATACAGGAAGAATGCAAAAGGTCATTAAAAAGACAAGGAAGAAAGAAACAATCAAAATGGATGTCAAAAGAGACTCTGAAACTTGCTTTTCATCGTTTTGATGTTAAAGCAAATAGAAGAAAGGAAGGGGTAAAAGGGTTGAACAGAACATTTCAAAGGGCAGCTCAAGAAGACAGAGTCAAGTATAATAATGAAATGTGCAAAGATCTGGAGTTAGAAAACCAAAAGGGAAGAACACATTCAATATTTCCCAAGTTGAAAGAACTAAAGAAAAATTCAAGCCTCCACTGGCAATATTGATGGAAGTAGCAGTCAGTAAATCAAAGGACATATTGCATTGGACAAGTCTGCTGCATAAGACCTCTTTAAGTGTTCAAGAGCAAAGATGTCAATTTGAAGTCTAAAGTGTGCTTGATCCAAGCTATAATATTTTCAAAAACCACATGTGCATGTAAAAGTTGGACATATTACATTGGGCAAGCCTGATGCACAAGACCTCTTTAAAATGTTCAAGAGCAAAATACAGTCTTCCTTATTCATGGAAGTCTAAAGTGTGCCTGACCCAAGCCATGATATTTTCAATAGCCTCATATGCATGTGAAAATGAATAAGGAAGACCATAGAAGAATTGATGCTT